CCCATGCCCCTCATTGTAGTCACCTCGGCCTCTCCTTCTGCCAAAGCCTCTCCCACGGCCTCGGCCTCTCCCTCCCCCTCTTCCTCTGCTGCCTCCTGCAGCTCCATACCCCTCAGCAGTTTTGTTGGCAGCACCACCACCCGTGTGGTGCCTGCGGAAGTCCTCCTGTAGAATCTGCTGCCGTAGCCACTCAGGTGTCCACTGGTCCTGCTGAGTGTTGAGGGTGGGGATGAGGTTGTCCCATGAGTTGTCGAGCACCGAGATGATCTTGGTGCACTGCTGCATCTGCGACACATTGCTGCCCGCCGCTGCCATCCTTGCATAGGTGTCCTTGATCTTGTCAAGGACCGGCTTCACATCATCGCCCGGTCGCATGGAGAGGGCAGCCAGCTCCTTCTCCAACACAATCACCATCGGCAGCGTGTTGGGCTGAATCACGTCGCGCAGTAGCTTCCACGCCTTTGGTCCGGAATCATCCAACTCCACCAAATCCTTGATGTGTTGGAACATGTCGTTGTTGACCGATTGAAGGATTAGGTCGTACAGCACCGCGCTTTTCTCAATCCACCGATCGCGGGCGTCGCCTTCCTCCGGCATCTTCTCTTCTCCCATCGCAAGTTTCAGCAGCTTGTAGCGCTTAAATGCACTCCGCATCCGCCCGCTCCATTCCTCATAGTTGGAGCCATCCAATGCCTCGATCTTGGATGGTGGCGGCTCATTCCTCTTCTCAGCTGCATCTCCACTCCCTTGAGTCATTTCCTCTGCTCCCAAGCACAGGTTCCAGCTCCCCCCTTGCTGTCCACACCGAAGTCCCACTCAATTTCCACAAGTGTCGGCACCAACAAAATTTCGGCAGAGTTTCCCCTTAGCGGAAGTCACATGCAACCTCCAGAACTCCACTTAGGCACGCCCACAGGCCATGGTGGGTCTAGGAGGGTCTTCACACTTCAGTAGACTCTCCACAAAGTCCTTAATCAGCTCTGATACCACTTGTTAGAGACTAAGGACGGAGTCTATGAAGATTAAGGGCCGAAATATCTTAAAATCGTCAACTATATTTTAGGACAGAAAAGTCGTCGTCACAAGAAACGTCGTCGACAATTAACGCACAATTAGAATTCTCTCAAACTCGAGTATGTTGTAGCCCTTCACCGTGGCTATCTTTTCCAATTTGAATAGTATCAAAATATGGAGTATAACTTGAGTTATGAACTTCGGCGCACTAGGGGGTATGCTGCCATAGAAAACGTAACTCAATAACAATAATCTCACAAGTTCACACAAGAAAGTTAGAGTAGCAATAGAACCAGGTAGGAGGGGATGAGGAGGAAGAGAGGGAAGGTCCCAAGGGAGTCCCCAACCAAGGACACCCCATACCACACAATTCCCCTCTCTATAGGCACCCCAACTTTGACATTTGTCACTTTCCCAACTCATGCCATCCACCTCACCCAACTTGGCCACACTTGCCAACCTGGTTTGGCACCTCCCAACCACTTGGCAGCATCTACAGTGATGTTGACGAATTTCCCAACCCCCAAGAGTCTGTACTCCTTATGGAGTCAACACCACAACTTCCCATAGTCACCACAACCAAATATCAAAAGCATACGAACTTCCAACGTTCGTAACTTTCTTGTTCGTGCTCCGATTGAAGCGATACTTGGTTCGTCGGAAAGCTCTTGAGCAGAGGAGTCACTTCAGATATCTGCTCAAGCCAAATAACATTCACACACACTCAGAAAAACCAAAACAACACCAAACACACATTCTTACACACGCTCACACCACACATGCAACACACGAACATATGATGGGAGGCAGACAGACGTGAATGCAAACGATAGCATCACATAACAGGGTGAGGGGGTGGTAGGAGTGAAGTTTCAGCACCAGCCACCCTCCTCCTCCTCCTCTCTCTCCCGTCTCGCTTCTCTCTGTCACTTCTGCTGCTGTGGGGGGAGGTTTGGGGAGAAGAGGGGAGGTTGAAGGGGGTAGGCCCCCATAAAACCAGCAGCTCCAGTCGCCCGTAAGCCCGTTGCTCCAGTCGCACGTGAGTCAATAGCTCCAGCCGCTCGTCTAACTGTGGAGCCAGTTACTCCAGTTGCCCATGTGCAATTTTCTCCAGTTGCCCGTGTGCCAGTTGCTTCAGTTGCCCGTGTGTCAGCAGCTTCAGCCGTCGCCCACCACCTCATCTCTCTCTCTCCTCCTCACATGCCCTCTCTAACTTCTGCTGCACCTTGGTATACCCCTTGAGGGGGTGTTCATTGCACTAGCTTCTACTGTAGGCAGTTTAGGGGGTGTGTCAGAAACAAAAATGTGTATGTATTTGTTTCATATATTAACTGCCTACAATTGTGTAGTGTAGTATAGTGTAGTGTAGTGTAACCCCCTGTTTAGTGGTGTACCTTGTTTGCCTTGTTTCTCGTTTGTACTTCTTGGGCCTTTGCCCATTCTAGTGCACCTTTTCATACTCTCGATAGTTGCCACCCAAAACCCTAGGCACTACTATCCTTGGTCTTTAACAAGAAAAGCCCTTAGGATCGTTTTAAATGACTAAGACTCAGAGTGATGCAGGCCCTCAGATTCGTTTTAGACAACACTTTCTGGTCAGTGTTGCTACAAAAAAAAAAACTTTCTGTCAGCCTCCTTATGAAGAAAAAGCCTGAAAAATCAGTGTAGGGTAACAAAAAAAACTTTCCCGTCAGGGTAGGTACAAATTTTTAGGCTTTTTTTTAATAACTCCTCCGTTACCGTTAGATATGTTATACTGTGATGTGACATGACAAGGGAGGGAAGGGATGTTACAAAATTACATATTATGAATGAATGAACCAAGTACAGCAAAGGCATTACTAACTAGATTATAGCAAAGGCATTACTAACTAGATTATAGATGCCTCCTACCTACCATACCACATCTCATCCTCGTCATAATCGCCACCATCTCCCTCAGCCTCTACATCTAGGTCTACCGGGTTGGCCTCATCTCCATCAGCCTCCTCCTCCTCCTTACCTCTCCGCCTCCTATCCGCCTCCTGCCTGGCTATGTTGCTTGTGTTGAACGGCTTCCGCTTCTTGTAGTTGCGCCAGATCTCCACAATCTCATCCCAGTTCGGCTTGTAACGGAGCAGCGACATGCACATCAAGTCGCTGAGCCGAGCATCTTTGAGGCTGCCTCGCTGCCAGGACTTTATGACATTCTGCCGTGAGAACCCGCGCTCGCATTCCATGGTGCTCAGCGGCAGAACCGACACCGCCACCCACAGCCGCACCAGGTTCGGGTAGTGCTCCTGCCAGTCCTTGGTCTTGAGCATGGCGGTGAGGCCCGTGTGGAACCCGCGCTCGGTCTTCGGTGCACGTGCAAGTACGGGGATTAACAGCCGCACTTCCTTGAATGCTCTTTTCTTGTCGACCCCTGCCGTCACAAAAAACAAGAATAGTTAATAACAGGCACCAATCTCTAGATTTAGCAATGCATCAAGCAACACAAAGAGAATCGGCTCACCCGGTACGATTTCCTCGCACTCCTCCGCGCGGAAGAGAGTGATCAGCAACTCAAGGTACTCTTGACACTTTGCCTGGCGCTCGTGCCTGCCAAGCGGCCAAGAGTCGGGGGTGAACAATTTGACACCCGACAGCTTGTCAAGGTCGCCCAGACGATCCTCGAGGTTGGCCACGATAAGCTCTGCAAACTCGGTGCAGATGTCCAGGCATGCGTCGTGGTGTCCTGGTCCAGGGTAGTCCGGAAGCTTGTCTTCATGCAGGATGAATGTGAATGTGCTCGGCTGCCCGTCCGAGTCAACGCCCTCGATGATGACCTCCCGGGTGCCTTCAGGACCATGCTTCTCTAGCCATGGTGAGAGCCTTGGACTGAGACCGGCGCCGAACTCGTCCCCACAGTCAACGTAGCGAGCCTCGAGATGTCCTGTTGTACGCCGAATCTGCGCATGAACAGCTGCTAGATCGAGCTGGGGAGGAAGCAAAACAGAAGACAGAGAGGTGTTAGTTAGGTTGAACAGTGCGAGTCATGACAAAAAAAAAGATAACAAGCCTGTGTATAAAGATTAAACCATGGCAATTACTCGGCATGACCACAAAAACGCACCTCGCGTCGCTGGAATGTCCTACTCAGGACGTTCATCTGGTCAAGGACATCGGACAAGAAGAGGAGGAGAAAGTGAAACCTGTACGACGTCACCACAGTATACAGCTCCTCATTCCACTCCTTCAGCATCGTGATGACGGCAGGCAGGACCGCCACAAACCTGGCGATGGCATCACCACGTGATAGCCACCGCACGTTGTGAATCCCTTGCAGCTCCAGGAATGTTTGGGAGAAGACTTCCTGCAGATCAATGAAGCGCTGATGCCATGGACCCGAACGGCCCAGGTGCTCTGCAATGGCGCGGATGGTGCTGTCGATCATTCCGAAGACTGGCATGCTGTCTGCTGCATCCTTAGCAGCAAGGGCCTCCCTGCAAGCACAATTACAGTAAGCAGTGGATTAGAATATAATACAACCAAAGGGTTTGACAACACTGCAGAGAACCATAGACACTCACCGGTGTGCAATACAGTGGCAGGAGACGAGGTGAGGTATGCGAAGCCGCAAACGTGCCACCAAGCCCGACCTTGAACCCATCATGACGGAAGCACCATCAGTGCTGATCCCCACAATGCGCCGAAGGTCAACGCCACATGCCTACACGTGGGACAGCAGCAACTGCAACATTGACGTAGCATCCGCCTTCTCAACCGTCAGGAGCGCCATGAACTCGGTGACGAGGCGGTGGTCGCGGATGAAAGTGACGAACAAAATTAAGTGCTTGCCTCTGCAGCGGTCGGTGCTCTCATCGCACGAAATGCCGATGTAGGGACTTGCTAGGATCTTCTCCAGCTGTGTTGTCTGCAGCCATGTTGCTATAGACTGCGTCAGCTCCCCAAATCCGTACCTGGTTATAAACCCTACAAAGAAAAGACAATACAAGAAAATAAACTTACGTGGTGTAGTATGTCCCGTACCCCTTCTTCGGGAAACCGGGGACTCCCCTCTCAGCCAGGTATCGCACCAATCCCACCCAAAGCTCCATGGGTGCGTCCTCCTTGCTGACAAAGAGGAGAGCGTCCAACAGTGATATCACCCGGACCTTTTCGCTGTCGTGCGCGAGAGGATGCTCGTCAATCCGCGGCTGCCTCGTCGCACCAACGAGCTGATCCTGCCGTTGTATCGCGAGTTTGTGCTTGTTGGTGGCAGCGTGCCACGTGAAAGCCTGCTTCTGGACGTCGACTGCTCCTTCGCTACCCTTCCCGGTCTTGCCAGACAGTCCTGCATGTTCCAAGCACACCGAACACTTAAAAGCAGGGAGACCAGTTGCAGTTTTCACAAGCTGCAGCCAGGCAAATTGACCCTGCCACCTCGATTTGAACCTGTCGAGAGCAATGGCGTAAATCTCATCGGCAGTAGCTGACGGCTGGTTAGAGGCCGCAGCCTCGGGTACAGGCGGAAGCGGGACGTCGGTCGGTGCCGCTGATGGCGCAGATTTGTCGCGAATGAAGTTAAGCTTAGACTGAACGAGGCGACAAGCCGGGGACGCCGAGGCAGCTGCTGGAGGGTGAGATGCAGGTGGAACGAGGCGAGAAGCCGGGGAGGCCACGTCGGGAGGAGGTCGTTGCGATGCTGCGGGGTCGGGGCGAGAAGCGGATGGCGGAGGAATGATTGGAGAAGTCGGGGAAGCCTCTGCTGGTGTCGACGGGGAAAAATGTACCGTCATCGGTACATCTTCCTCACCATTCGTGCGTGGCGTTGTTTTATCTAAGACTGTGGCGCCAATCGAATCTGGTGGGGCGGAAGTAACGGTAGGAATTGCTGTAGGTGTAGTATCTGTATGGTTCTTGCTACGCTGGGGATTGGTTGCTTTGGAAAGCGAGCACATCAACAGGTCTAGACCCGTGCGTGCTATCTCGCCCTCAATGTCGTCAGGCTCGTCGCCTGCAGCATCGCCGTCCATGGGAAGAGCCATGGTGGCAGTAAGGATGAGAGGAGAAGGTGGAGAGAGTCAGCCGAGAAAACAGAGAGTGAAGCACGGCAAACACAATCCAAGAACGGGGAGAAGAAGATGGGCAAGGGAGGGACACCCCACCTCGCACGTGATTGGTTGACACTCACAAACGAACCCCACCATGCAGGTGTGGATGGTCCCCGATGGCACATCCAGATTCCACAGCGACTCGGTTAAAACCGACAAGCCGTGGAATCTTGCCGGTCATGGCAACGTGATTGGGTACGGCGTGTGATTAGCCGAAACTGCCCAATCACACCCGAATTTGAAAGATGATGGCGACAACACATTAAGTGAGGTGAGAGTGGAAGTACAGCAAAGATGCCGTTTCCCGTGATTGACGGTGACGGCGGAAAATCCGGGCGAAAATTTTGCTGTATCCATTGAATCTAGGCCAAGTCAGCATCGAGGATGGCCTCGCTACTGTATGATTCGAATCAGGGTCCTCTACCAAATTTAAGCTGAAATTTCAGGCCTTGTACAAAATTTCTCGCTGGAAATAAAATATGAACAGGAAAAAAACAAAACTTTTTCATCAGTGTTGGGTCCAAAAAAAAAACCCTGAAAATCAGGGTTCAAAGTCAAAATCAGGGTAAAATTCCTGAAATCTGAGGGCCTGGAGTGATGTATTAGCGGAAGCATCTTTAATGAAAGGCTGATTTAACCACCTTGCACTGGTGTGTGAGAACAAGATACGGTAAGTTGATTATAGCATAGAGATACAGGGCTTTTATATGATTATCGGTACAGAGAATATGAAAGGTTTCGCTAACTGCAATTGTAACTGCTAATGCGGTTCGATACAGCGACGACTCGGGTAACTGCTCAATAGCGAGCCAGTTATTTGTCCTTGCTGTCGTGCTGCCTTTGTCGAGTCAAAGGGTGCTGACGGTTGACCTTCGCTTCAACCTCCTGCTGTTGTTGCCTTTGTCAACCGCTTCGCTGTAGCTTGGTTGACTCGGTGTTGCTTCGCTGTGGATCTGCTTCGTTCTTGTTATAGTGCTCGACACATCAGAAGCATGAATTATATGTTTCCAACATGTGTTACACCTGGTGCACGATTTCTACGGTACCAGTAGATGAACAAAAACATTCATGCGAAAATCGAACACTTAGCTCGGGTGAATGCTGTCTGATAGGTTCTACTATGCTTTGCTCTTGATGGGCTATAGTCTGAATGCCTCCCATACTTGTGATGGAGATTCATTCCATACTGACTCATGTGTGACTCATGTGTGATGATCTTGCCCGTGCTGTTGACGCGAAAGACGTCGTCTGCATGGAAGCAGTACGCAGGGCAGGAGGACGATGGGAAAGGGATGAGCAAAGGGGAATGGAACATGGTGTAAGGATGAATCATGAGATGCTTCCCTTTTCACTGCCTCCCAACTCCCTCCCTTCCCAACACTCACTCCCTCCCCCATACGCTTCCCCCCCGCCCCTCCACACGCACTCACTGCCTTCCCCACACCCGCACTGTCGCTCATCCCACACTTGCCCCTCCCTTCGGTAATGCTCAACGCACCTCCAGATGCTCAACGCACCTCCAGATGCTCAACGCACCTCCAGATGCTCAACGCACCTCCAGATGCTCAACGCACCTCCAGATGCTCAACGCCTTCCCCCATGGACTGCGCCCCCTCGTCTCGTGCCCCACACACTCCGCACTGCACACACCACCTCCCCCACACACAGTCACTGCCTCCCCTGCAATGATGCCCAACGCACCTCCAGTGATGCTCAGCGCCTTCCCCCACCGGGTCTGCCCCCTCGTGCTCCACACACTCCGCACGGCGCTCACCGCCTCCCCCACGCGCCCCTCCAGCCCCGGGCGCGGGGAGAAGGGCGAGCGGGTGCATGCATCGGGAGGGACCTGGAGAGGGGAACAGGAAAGCGGGGGGGAGGAGAGGGGGAGGACGGGGGGAGGAGAGGGGAAGCTACATTGGGATGTCTGAAATTTGTGAGCACAAGAGCTGGGGGGCATGTTGCAGCCGTTCCTTAGAGACTGCTAACATGCTGTGTGTGCGGCGGGGGAGGAGAGAGAGGGGCACGGATGAGGAGATTGAGGGAGGGGTTGGAGGGGGGTTGGGGGGTGATGAAGGGTGGGGGGGGGGGGGGGGAGGGGGGAGAGGAAAAGAAGGGAGGGGCGAGAGGATGATGGAGAGTGATGGTGTGTCAGAAAGGGGCATTGCAAGCACTGCTCACCTCTTCCAATGAGTGCACTTCGAAAACGAGAGACCTGGGTTCGAATCCCACTGCCGTTATTAACCTCAGGCTGGTGATCATCCCTCTGTACAGAAATAGGCCGTCCAATCGCGTCACAGGGTCCACGAATGCCACGCTGGCGTCGTAGATGGACCAATCCAGGTCGCGCTCGTACTGAACCGGCAGGTCTTCCCGTAAAACGCGCATCACTCGCGCCACGCGCGCATCGGGCGCCCCCGCAGCTCCGCCCGCCGTTCCTTCTGCTTGCCCCGCCCTCGCTGCTCCGCCTTCATCTCCCGCTACGCGCGCAAGAGGGGTGCGCAGATCCCCCGGTCTCGCGCGGAGTGTTCCCCGTCTCACTCCGCCGTACTGCGCGCTTCTTCGAGGGCGCGGTTCTTTGGCGCCGCGCCTAGGACCCCCCTCGCCAAAGCACAATGCGCATGCAGAATGAGGCGCGGGAGGATAAACGGACTTTAGAGTGACGTCGAAATGGGAATCGTGGAGCGAGCGATCAAATTTCGGCAAGTCTGTCGCGGCGGGGAGAAATGCGCCGGGAGAGGCTGCGCCGGGCGTGCGCGGGTGTGGAAGAGGGAAGCAGATTGCGGCGGGGGGCGGCATGATGAGATAATAAAACAGAACTGGACGTCGCGAGAGGGAGGCTTTGTGGTGAAATGGAGGGTGAAAGGGCAGGAGAGGTAGAGCGGCACGGCGGCGCTTCGCGGATGGGACAGGAAATGTGATTGCAGGGAGGGTGGTGGGGTGAAGAGGCGTAGGGATGACATTTACGCGATAGAAGCGCGTCACGTTTCTGGATTGTAGCGTCGAACTTCTGAATCACCATATACATTTTCCGCGGTTGCAAAATTTATGTTTCAACAGAAGAGAAAGGCACAAATCTGCACTGCGACAAAAGACCACCATGATTTTTGTTTGGTTGCAGTGCCTACAGCATCCGCACCGAACTGAAACTCACCAACGCTAACCGCATTGCATCACATGATTTATCCAACCGACTCATCTCCTCTTCCTCTTCCTATGTTGCTGAGTATTTCAGCCCCCAAATCAGCTGCGGCTATCGCTGCTACCCAAATTACCTTCACCAACCTCTTATTCGAATTTCCTCCCTCAAGCCTCCTAATCGCCCTCGCACTGCGCGTTATTCGAAAAGGAATGCCGCCAGATTATCTCGCGCGGCTACTCGTTCAGCCGCATTGCCGTCACGATGCTTCAGTCTGTCGAAACGACCCGCGCCGGCGCCGGCATTGCCAGCGGCATCATCGAATCTTTCTCGTCGCGTCGCTCGTCGCGCTCTGCGCGTCGTCCTCGCTGCCAGCGACGGTGCGCGCTGACTTCATCCAGCCGCTGCCGGGGCTCGCCACGGCCGATGACGTGGCGCTCGCTGAGAGTACGTCGCGGTGTGACTGTAGCGCGGCGGCGATTAGACAATGGGTGCTCATTGTAACGGTTGACGTAAAACGGGCGCCTGCGGGCGACGATGGCTGAGAGAAACGACCAGATACGGGGACGGCGACGCGGCGTGGAAGCATCGAGTTTCGAGGTGTCGCAATGACCCACCTGCAAGAAATGCTCATTCCGCCCATTCGACTCCGTGCCTTCCCTCCTCCCCGCCTCCGCGCAACCATCATTTCTCACCCCCGTCTCCCCAATCCCCAACTGCTTCCCCCGCAGAGGCGGCGCTACTGTCGCTGGGGGCGGCGCTGGGCGGGCACGCGGCGTTCCGGTGGGCGGGGTGGGTGAACGCGTCGCAGGGGCTGTCGTACGAGCAGAGCAAGCCGTGCGTGCAGTTCTGGGAGTTCCTCTCCTGCGACTCGCACGGCCGCGTCTCCAGCATGTGAGCAACTGAGGGGGCAGTGGGGATGAGCATGTGAGAGGGGCAGTGGGAATGAGCAAGCCGTGAGCATTTGAGGGCTGTGAGAGCGCGTCTCCAGCAGGTGAGAGCGCGTCTCCAGCATGTGAGAGCGCGTCTCCAGCATGTGAGGCCGTGAGGGGGCCATGGGGGCGTTCTTGTGCATGCGGTAAGGGAAGAGACGGCGGATTGGGCAGGGATGCGCCTCGTCCCTCAGCCCCTCTTCCCTCTCACCCCTCCCCGGCCTTCCCCTTTCTTCATTCTTTCCACCCTCCCTGCTCTTCTCCATTCCATATTTTACTGATCTCCACTCCACCTTCTTCCCTTCACCCTTTTCCTCCATTCCCCCCTCCCCTCTCGTCCCTTTCTCCCCCCTTCCTCCCTTCCGCCACCAACCACAGCAACATTGCCAACCCCACTTTAGCCGTCATCAATGCGTCGTGGGCCAATCAGAAGACGCCAGGTGGCTTAAAGGGGTCGATCCCCTGGGATTCCCTCACGGCGCTGGAGCACCTGCAGGCCGTTGATCTGTCGGGCAACTCCATCTCTGGCCGTCCGTTCACTGCTGCCATCTCCAAGTTCACCGGGCTCAGAGAAATGTGAGTGGGGAGGATGAGAGTGAGGGGGATCAGAGTGAGGGGGGTGAGAGCAACGGCGATGAGAGTGGGGGGGATGTGAGCGAGGAGGTTGAGCGCTAGAGGGATTTGAGGAAGGGGGAGTGTGAGTGAGGGGGGGTGTGTGAGGGTGGTTGACGGTCAAAGAAGAGAGTAGAAGGATGCGAATGAATTGTCAGTGATTGCATTTCAACCCCTCGGCCTCAACCCCCACCCCCTCCCTCAACCCCCTCCCCTCGCCCCCCACCCACCCCATGCACCCCACTCTCCTCGCCCCACCGTAACTTCTCGCCCCTCACACGGTCACACGCTTGCCATTCGGCTCTCACCCCATACCCACCTCCCTCATCCCCGCAACCCCCTTGTCTCGTGCCGCTCGCCCTGCAGAGCGTCTCCATCTCTTCCCGCGCTCACTGCATGCATCCCCACCTTCTTTTGAGTCGACTCAAAAGTCCATCTCTTCCCGCGCTCGCTACGTGCATCCCCGCCCCCTGAACCCCCAATGCACTTCCTAAACCCTTCACGCACCCCCCTGAACCCCCAATGCACTTCCTAAACCCTTCACGCACCCCCCTGAACCCCCAATGCACTTCCTAAACCCTTCACGCACCCCCCGGAACCCCCAATGCACCCCACTCTCCTCGCCTTCTCTCTCCTCTTCCCCCTCCCTCCCCCGCCCATCTCCCTCCGTCTGCCCTTTTTCTCTCTCCACCCCTTCCCCTCTCTCCCCCACCTCCCTCCCCCCTCTCTCCCGCCTCTCCCCCATGCCCAACGCCCATCCCTCCGCGGCAGCCAGCTCTCCCGCAACGCCCTGGATGCGCCTCTGGTGGACGAGCTTTCCGCACTCTTCATCCTGCAGAAGCTGTAAGCCCTGTCTAGTTTTGAGGCGCTCAGAAGTAGACTCTGGTAAGGAAGCTCCCCATGCTCTTCAACTCAATCTGCAAGAAGCTGTGAGCTCTGGGCGGGGCTGCGGTGGTGGTAGGGGCTGCTTTGGTTGGCGGGTCGAGAGTGGCAGCAGGGGTGTCGGTGCGCGGTGCTGCTGCTTCGTTACGGTACTGAAATGAGAGAAATCAGCTTGTGGGGATGTGTCATGTGAGCATGAGCTGTGATGGTGCTGAGTTGACTTGATCAACCTGAAAGCGGGTTGGTTGAGCAAGTTCAGTTCAGGCGTCCCTTCCTTACCACCCTCACGTCACATGCATTCCCTGCCCCCCCTCCCCATTCCCTCCCCATCTCCCTCCCCATCTCCCTCCCCATCTCCCTCCCCATCTCTCTCCTCAGCGACCTGAGTGGTAACCGCATTCCCGGCGCCCTGCCCACAGGCCTGTCCGCCCTGACAGCCCTGGAGATTCTCTCCCTCGCCTCCAACCAGCTCTCTGACTCATTTCCTGCAGGCCTCTCCGCACTCACTGCCCTCAAAAACCTGTGAGCACTACGCTAACGTTCGAAGCTATCCTGCTAGTGTATTTTACAAATAGATTCTTTTTTTAGTTTCCATGCACTACCGAACACTAGTTCTCCTCCCCTATTCCTCATCCAAATAAGAAGTTAGCATGATTCCCATGGAGTGGGAACTCCAGTGCTGCACACCACCAAAGATTCTCCAATTCTCAGGGAATGGCATGGGAACTAGAGCTTTCATCCAATGATTCTCAGTGCCCTTACTCAAACACGATGATTCTCAGTGCCCTTACTCAAACACGATGATTCTCAGTGCCCTTACTCAAACACGATGATTCTCAGTGCCCTTACTCAAACACGATGATTCCTCATCATCCCGTCAACCATCCCCTATCACCCATCTCCCCATCCCACCCATCACCCCATCCCCTCATCACCCATCCATCACTCATCCCTCCATCATCCATCATCCATCACCCATCGACCCATCAACCCATCACCCCATCCTCCATTCCCCAATCTCCATCCCCCCTTCCCCACCCTCCATCCCCCATTCCCCACGCCCATCACCCCATCCCCAAACCCATCACCCATCTCCAACCCCATCACCCATCCCTCTTCCCCCATCCCCCATCGCACCCATTCCCCCATCCCATCCATCCCCCCATCCCACCCATTCCCCCATCCCATCCATCCCCCCATCCCACCCATCCCCCCATCCCACCCATTTCCCCATCCCACTCATTCCCCCCATCACACCCATTTCCCCATCCCACCCATTCCCCCCATCCACCCATCACCTCACCAGCGAGTTGGGCAGCAACACTTTCAGCGGCCCCCTGCCTGACAGCTGGAGCGCTCTCTCCAACCTGCACCTGCTGTGAGTGCTGCTGCTCCGGCATTGAGGTGATTTTTTAGGTGCCTCAAAAGTCACCTTCAGTGCCCCCCTGCCTGACAGCTGGAGCGCTCTCTCCAGCCTGCACCTGCTGTCAGTGCCGCCCCTCCCTCCTTCCCTGCCTCTTGTTCTGCCTCCCCATAAGCGTCCCCACATGTTGCCACCACATGTGTGCTTCACCGTGTCTTATTGCGCTCTTCTGTTAAACCCCTGCCTGAACACCGCCCCTCCCAATGCCCTCTTCCATCACTCCACCACCACCCCATTCCTCTCCCTACGGTGCCCTCCCTCCTCCCCTTCGCTTCTCTCCCCTCTCCTCCCCTCCTCTCCCTACCTTTCATTTTTTTTCCCCTTCCACTCCGCCCATCCCCCCCCTCCCCTCTTCCCATCTTCCCTCCCCTCCCCTCCCCACTTTTTCCTCTTGTGTCCTTCCCTCCCCTTCCATCCCCCCGCCACCCCTCTTCCCTCCCCTCCCTTCCCCCTTAGTTGGAGTATACGCTAAAATTATTTTGCGTTTTGAGTTTATACGCTCTAAAAAAACGACCGCTGCGTTTTTGGTTCGGAAACGCTGAAAAACGCTCGGGCTGACCGGAAAAAAAAAGTTCAAAAATTGAGTTTCGGTTCGCGAAGTGGCGATTCATATGTGGGGTTTCGCACGCCGCGAGTTCAACATGCAATTCGAAATTTCAACCCGAGTCGCACCAAACCCACCCTTCACCCCTGCAAACTCCCTCGTACCCCATTCACTACAACCTCTTCAAACACAACATTGAGGTGAGTCCCCCGCAACCCACCCTCCATCTCTAAGATAAATGTCAGTGCTTTTCCACTCGCTATTCATTACTCAGTTCTCCTCTCTTCTATAGCTCGCCTCTTCAGCATGGCGACCCCTCCTTCAGCAACACCCAGTAGTACTAGTAGTCCACCAACTGCAGCTCCTCATGCTAGTTCTGTTGAGGAAACCAGCGCCGATCTGGTTATCCTGCACGAAACCCATGCTCTGTACAAACATTTCCTTGTGAAGGCCGGCGATGACAGCGACCATGCCACCAAGGTGTGCAAGTGGTGTCGCCACAAGTTTACGGGCGGTATGTACCGCGCTGCTCAGCACATCACCAGCTGGAAGAATATGCGGCGTCGTGAAGTCCGCATCTGCAAGGATGCTCCCAAGGCCGCTCGGGATGGAGTGAAGGCACTCTACGAGACCAAGTCCAAGACCCGGGAGCAGAAGCGCGTCGCTGAAGTCTCGGCCATTGCTGCAGTTTCCGGCGCTGCTGGCGAGTCGAAGAAGTCTCGCATGACCGACTTCTACGGCGACGAGTCAGCCTGCAAGAAGAATAGCGCCGACGAGTCGATCTGCCTCGCGTTCGCCGCTCTGCGCCTCCCCGAACACCACGCGGACCACCCTGTTTGGCTCAACATGGTCTCCTGCATTGCGCGTGCGGGCGACGGCTACGTCGCACCGAGGCGTCGGTTCATCGGTGGCGTCGGGCTCCAGAAATGTCGTAAGCGCATTGAGTCGGCGCTTGTTCCGATCGCGGCGAGCTGGCGGCGGGATGGTGTAACGGTGTCGAGCGACATGATGACTGACCGTAACCACCGTCCGCAGGCGAATGTCCTTCTGATCAACGACAGTGGCGCGGTCTTCGTGGAGTCTGTCGACACAAAGATGGAACAGAAGACGGGAGGTTACATCGCGTCGCTTCTCCGTCCCATTCTCAAGAAACTCGGACCGGAAAACGTGGTGGCATTTTGCATGGACGGCGGCTCGAACTATGCGGTGGCGTGCAGGGAGCTGATGGAGGATTACCCCCACATTGAGCATGTACCTTGTGCTACCCACGTCCTCGATCTCATGATGGAGGACGTTGGGAAGATGGACTGGGCGTCGAACCTCGTCTCCCGCGGGAACGAGATCATCACCTTCACGCGCAGCCACCACTTCACGCGGGGGTATCTGCGCAGCCCCATGGTCAATGGCGGGAAGGGCAAGCAGGTCCTGAAACCCGCAGGCACTCGCTTTGGCACGCAATTCATCGCTATTTCTCGCCTTTGCGAAGTCCGCCTTGCCCTCGTGCAGATGGTTTTAGGCGAGGAATGGGAGGGCTGGGCAGCAGGCGCAAGGAGTAAGAGCGCGGCCACTTTCCGCGAGCACATCATGGACGAGACTTGGTGGAAGACGGCCGAGTTCTTCACCAAGCTCATGGCGAAGCCGTTCGCCGTCATGCGGGCTACGGATGCCACGACAAAGGGGATGATGGGGCGCCTCTACGACTCCATGCTGCAGCTCACCGAGGACGTGGATGACATCCTTGATAAGCACTATGCGGGTTACCTGACGAGGGCGGAGGTTAAGGAGATCCGCCTCATCGTGAAGCACCGGTGGGACAAGTGCTTGGCGTGCCCCTTGCATGTGGTTGGCAGGATCTTGAATCCCGCCAACCAAGAGGAGGGCATCTTCAGGAACGACGTCGAATGCACGCGCGTGCTGAAGGCCTACATCGCCAAGCACTACGACCACCTCACCTTCACCGATAGCGACGGCGAGGAGCGCCGTGCCTCCCTTGTGCTGCAGGAGGAGCTGACGGCGTACCTGACCCTGCAAGGAAGTTTCGGGCTGCCCACCGCCATTGAAGACCGCGCGGCGGTGAAGGCGGGGAAGATGACGGCCGTCCAGTGGTGGACTTGGCACGGCACGGATGCGCCCCACCTTGCTACGTGCGCAATCCGCAATCTTTCGCAGCCGGTGTCCGCGTCGCCCTGTGAGCGCAATTGGTCCATGTGGGACGCGGTCCACACGGCAAGGCGCAACCGCCTCGGGTCCGAGAAGTGCAGGGACCTCGTATATGTTGCGCATAACTGGTACAAGGTCCCTGAGGGGCAGGGGGTGGTCAACGGCAACATTCCTGAGGCGCCACTTCCCGAGGGCTACAACGTGGAGGAGGATGGGGACGAGGAGGAGGTTGGGGAGGAGGAGAGGAGGACATGGTTCTTGAGGATGAGTTTGCGTAGACGTGCATGTGGGGAGGGGGTGGTATGGGATGGGATGGGAAAGGGAAGGGAATGGGAGGTGGGGTAGGGTGGCTAGTGATGTAGCCAAAATGTTGTGTAAATGTAACCTGCCCTATAATAAAAGGGGAAGGGAGATGATGGTGCCTTGCATCACCCCCTTCCCCACCTCTTCACCCAAAAATTTCACCTGCCCAAAACTTTTTTTACCCCTGCCCGGCCCTGCGTTTTCACTGCGTATCGGACCCCCCCAAAGATGCGTACAGCGTTTAAACGCTAGCGTTAAAACGCTAGCGTATGAAACGCGAAACGCGTATACTCCAACTAAGCCTTCCCCTCCCCTCCCCTTTTCCCCGCTTCCCTCCCCTTCCGTACCCTCCCCTCTCCTCCCCTCTCCTCTCCTCCCCTCCCTCCTCCCAGCGACCTGGCCAGTGCGGGGGTGCGCACCCCACCACCAGACTCATGGGCAGCACTTTCATCGCTGGAGTCCTTCCCCCTCCCCTTCTCGCTTTCTCCTCCCAGCGACCTAGCAAGTGCAGGAGTGCGCACCCCTCCACCAGACTCATGGGCGGCGCTCTCATCGCTGGAGCTCTTCTCTCAACTCCCTCCCTCCCCACTCTCCTCCCCTCCCCCCCTCTCAACTCCCCCCTCCCACTCCCCCCTCCCAGCGACCTAGCAAGTGCAGGAGTGCGCACCCCTCCACCGGACTCATGGGCAGCGCTCTCATCGCTGGAGATCTTGTCGCTGCAGAATAACAACCTCACTGCGCCCTTCCCCGCCTTCCTGCTGCAACTGCCCAACATCTCTGATATGTGCGTCTCTGTTACCTTTCCTGCTGCTGCTGCTGCGGCTGCTGCTGCTGCCTGTACCTGCTTTCATCTTTCTTGTTGCTCCTGTAGCGTCAAGGTCCGGTCCGCATCTTCCATTCCCCACTTTGCATTCTGTGCAAAGCGACCTTAATTCACCACGCATCAGTTCTCCTTATCCTTCCCCACTTCCTTCCCCACTTCCTTCCCCACTTCCTTCCCCACTTCCTTCCCCCATTTCCCTCCCCCCTTTCCGTTACCTTTTCCCGTTTACGTTCAACCCCCACCCCTCCCCCACACCACAGCACGCTATTCAACAACAGCCTATATGGTGGCCTGCCTACCACCCTCTGGAACCCCACCAAGCTGACCTTTGTGTGAGGAGTAGGAAACAGTTCAGTGAGCCACACATACGTGGATGCATATGCAGGACATGGTTCTGAGCCGCCAAGCTTGACTTCTCCAAGTTTGTTAACTCTCCAGACCCATCCACCAATGCACACAGCAACCAATGCACACACAGCAACCAATGCACACACAGCCACCAATGCACACACAGCAACGAATGCACACACAGCAACCAATGCACACACAGCCACCAATGCACACACAGCCACCAATGCACACACAGCCACCAATGCACACACAGCCACCAATGCACACACAGCAACGAATGCACACACAGCAACCAATGCACACACAGCCACCAATGCACACACAGCCACCAATGCACACACAGCCACCAATGCACACACAGCCACCAATGCACACACAGCCACCAATGCACACACAGCCACCAATGCACACACAGCCACCAATGCACACACAGCCACCAATGCACACACAGCCACCAATGCACACACAGCCACCAATGCACACACAGCCACCAATGCACACACAGCCACCAATGCACACACAGCCACCAATGCACACACAGCCACCAATGCACACACAGCCACCAATGCACACACAGCCACCAATGCACACACAGCCACCAATGCACACACAGCCACCAATGCACACACAGCCACCAATGCACACACAGCCACCAATGCACACACAGCCACCAATGCACACACAGCCACCAATGCACACACAGCCACCAATGCACACACAGCCACCAATGCACACACAGCCACCAATGCACACACAGCCACCAATGCACACACAGCCACCAATGCACACACAGCAACCAATGCACACACAGCCACCAATGCACACACAGCCACCAATGCACACACAGCCACCAATGCACACACAGCCACCAATGCACACACAGCCACCAATGCACACACAGCCACCAATGCACACACAGCCACCAATGCACACACAGCCACCAATGCACACACAGCCACCAACGCACACACAGCCACCAATGCACACACAGCCACCAAAGCACACACAGCCACCAATGCACACACAGCAACCAATGCACACACAGCCACCAATGCACACACAGCAACCAATGCACACACAGCCACCAATGCACACACAGCCACCAATGCACACACAGCCACCAATGCACACACAGCCACCAATGCACACACAGCAACCAATGCACACACAGCCACCAATGCACACACAGCAACCAATGCACACACAGCCACCAATGCACACACAGCCACCAATGCACACACAGCCACCAATGCACACACAGCCACCAATGCACACACAGCCACCAATGCACACACAGCCACCAATGCACACACAGCCACCAATGCACACACAGCCACCAACGCACACACAGCCACCAATGCACACACAGACACCAAAGCACACACAGCCACCAATGCACACACAGCAACCAATGCACACACAGCCACCAATGCACACACAGCAACCAATGCACACACAGCCACCAATGCACACACAGCCACCAATGCACACACAGCCACCAATGCACACACAGCCACCAATGCACACACAGCAACCAATGCACACACAGCCACCAATGCACACACAGCCACCAATGCACACACAGCCACCAATGCACACACAGCCACCAATGCACACACAGCCACCAATGCACACACAGCCACCAATGCACACACAGCCACCAATGCACACACAGCCACCAATGCACACACAGCCACCAATGCACACACAGCCACCAATGCACACACAGCCACCAATGCACACACAGCCACCAATGCACACACAGCAACCAATGCACACACAGCCACCAATGCACACACAGCCACCAATGCACACACAGCCACCAATGCACACACAGCCACCAATGCACACACAGCCACCAATGCACACACAGCCACCAATGCACACACAGCCACCAATGCACACACAGCCACCAATGCACACACAGCCACCAATGCACACACAGCCACCAATGCACACACAGCCACCAATGCACACACAGCCACCAATGCACACACAGCCACCAATGCACACACAGCCACCAATGCACACACAGCCACCAATGCACACACAGCCACCAATGCACACACAGCCACCAATGCACACACAGCCACCAATGCACACACAGCCACCAATGCACACACAGCCACCAATGCACACACAGCCACCAATGCACACACAGCCACCAATGCACACACAGCCACCAATGCACACACAGCCACCAATGCACACACAGCCACCAATGCACACACAGCCACCAATGCACACACAGCCACCAATGCACACACAGCCACCAATGCACACACAGCAACCAATGCACACACAGCCACCAATGCACACACAGCCACCAATGCACACACAGCCACCAATGCACACACAGCAACCAATGCACACACAGCCACCAATGCACACACAGCCACCAATGCACACACAGCCACCAATGCACACACAGCCACCAATGCACACACAGCCACCAATGCACACACAGCCACCAATGCACACACAGCCACCAATGCACACACAGCCACCAATGCACACACAGCCACCAATGCACACACAGCCACCAATGCACACACAGCCACCAATGCACACACAGCCACCAATGCACACACAGCAACCAATGCACACACAGCAACCAATGCACACACAGCAACCAATGCACACACAGCCACCAATGCACACACAGCCACCAATGCACACACAGCCACCAATGCACACACAGCCACCAATGCACACACAGCCACCAATGCACACACAGCCACCAATGCACACACAGCCACCAATGCACACACAGCCACCAATGCACACACAGCCACCAATGCACACACAGCCACCAATGCACACACAGCCACCAATGCACACACAGCCACCAATGCACACACAGCCACCAATGCACACACAGCAACCAATGCACACACAGCCACCAATGCACACACAGCAAACAATGCACACACAGCCACCAATGCACACACAGCCACCAATGCACACACAGCCACCAATGCACACGCAGCAACCAATGCACACACAGCCACCAATGCACACACAGCCACCAATGCACACACAGCCACCAATGCACACACAGCCACCAATGCACACACAGCCACCAATGCACACACAGCAACCAATGCACACACAGCAACCAATGCACACACAGCCACCAATGCACTCACAGCCACCAATGCACACACAGCCACCAATGCACACACAGCCACCAATGCACACACAGCCACCAATGCACACACAGCCACCAATGCACACACAGCCACCAATGCACACACAGCCACCAACGCACACACAGCCACCAATGCACACACAGCCACCAATGCACACACAGCCACCAATGCACACACAGCAACCCCCCCTCCCTCCCCTCCCCCTCTTCCCAGCGAGGTGTCCTCCAACTACCTGAACGGGTCGTTTCCTCAGCCTCCTGCCGGCCGCTCCGCTCAGTTCAGGTGCTGCACGCTCCCTTTGCGTCCACCTCCACATGCTGCTGGTGCACTGCTGCAGGTGCACTGCTGCAGGTGCACTGCTGCAGGTGCACTGCTGCAGGGGCACTGGTGCTGGTGCACTGGAATCCTGCTGAGATCCCTCGGCATCACATTCTTTCTTCTGCACTAATAACTGCACAATGATGCTGCCATGCTAATTCGCCGACTGAAAAGCACAGCCTTTGGCTTTCTCCGTTTCTAAACAGTACTTCTGTGTGCTCTCACATGCACATGTGCTCTTCTGCTGCTCACATGCCCCTTGGCTTTCCCTCACCTCTCTCCCCCACCCCTCTCCCCTGCATCCCCCCACCAGCCTCAGCACCAACTGCCTGGACCAGGCGCCCTCCCAGCGCCCCACGGACCAGTGCTCGCGCTTCTACTCCAGCCTACCCGCCCTCATTCAATCCGGTACACCCCCACCACCACCACCACCCCCCCCCGCCCCCCCCCTTCCCCCCCACGCACTCCCCTCCCCGGTCCCCTCACCCCTTCTCGCCACTTGGTTTCTCCCATGGCAGCTTTTTATATTTCTCCATCGGAACTCGTGTCTCCTGCTCAGCCATATTACTCAGACTCACCGTGTGCTATGCCCCATGCACCACACACCATGCACCACACACCATGCAGCACGCACCATGTGCTACAATTCATGAACAGCACACTGTGCAAATGTGCCAATGCTGCTATCTACCACGCAAGAATTTCACCCAGCAAGCAGCATGTCACACATGTGAGACACCTTCGCACATGTGAGACACCTTCGCACATGTGAGACACCTTCGCACATGTGAGACACCTTCGCGCATGCATGTGAGACACCTTCGCGCATGCATGTGAGACACCTTCGCACATGTGAGACACCTTCGCACATGTGAGACACCTTCGCGCATGCATGTGAGACACCTTCGCGCATGCATGTGAGACACCTTCGCGCATGCATGTGAGACACCTTCGCACATGTGAGACACCTTCGCACATGTGAGACACCTTCGCGCATGCATGTG